ACAAGAGAACGTCTTGGATGTGAAGTTCCGGATTGCTGGTTAAGAGGATTCCGAGTTTGAATCATAAATATTTAGGTCCCCTCGTATTTTTTTTTTCTCGCTCTTACACACACTTCTTGAGATATCCTCATCGCGATCGCGATGATGTTTAGAGTAGCGTGACACGGTCGGTGAAGAAAGTGTCATCGATTCATCGTCAATGACATCGAACAAAAGATACGTCGACAAGAGAGTGCGTTCTTCGCTCTAGTCTCTAGGGGAATGATGACGAACCTGTATATACGGTCTTTGTTTCGCGGTTACGCAGCATGGTTGCGAACAAAAGGACTCTACGGTACGATCGAACCAGGCCCTTTCCAGCCATTACCATAGATTTTTCGATCATTTTCGCTCCCTATATTTCGTTGTATTTTCTGGATCGGCAAATCATATATAACGATCCGTTTATATACCGATAATCCGCGTACACTGTTGTCCACCAACGAACGATATCATTGTTATTATAGACACATTTTCAACACTTATCCGCTCAATCATTATCAATTATCAATTATCCAGACGCAAATACGAATCTTTAAAATAAGACGTCTTCCTTCGGGTTCGAAATTGTAAATGCGAAACAACCTCGAATCGTTGATAGAGATATAACGTGTTTTCTAACGGCGAGAGACGGCAAACTGTCACCCGATAGGTGCAAACTCGTTGAAAAAAATACTCCATTCGAGCGAAACGCGTTGGTCGCGCGGGTGTAACGCGATCTTTCGACTCGTTATCGAGCGTGGTCTCGTTACACCCTGTGCACCTTTCCTATCCCCAGGTTGCTCGGGATTTTTTCTACCTCGGGTATTAGTTTTTAGGTCAAGGATGGTGGAGTAGTGCAGGCTGGAAACTCGGTTCGCGCGCTGAAAACGGGTGAGGAGGAGGCTGGGTAAACGGGAGAAGAGGAACGAGGAGGAGAAACACTTGAGTGAGAAACGGGCTTTTCGTAGCCAACGCTGAAAGAAAGCAAACGCTGCTCTTCCTTCCACGATGCACTGCAATAATTGAAGCGCCGTCGTTGCGAAAGAAAGAAAGAAAGAAAGAAAGAAAGAAAGGGAGGCAAACTCTCGTTTCAACGGACGAAAGAAGTTTTTACGCCTTCGTGAAAGCGCGCAACGAATGAATCGATTGTTCACGCTTCCGCCTTGGATTTCACGCATCGCGAAACGTTTAACGCGCGTAATAGACGATTCACCCCCCACCCCCTCCCCCCTCTCTCCCCTTCTATTTACCATTTAAACTTAACTAAATCTCGATAATATCCGGCTCGAAACGAAATCAAGAGAGAGAGAGAGAGAGAGAGAAAGAGAGAGGAGGAAGAGGACGCGTGGTTTGTTGGACTAACGTGATTCGTCGTATATACGGCTCGGCGTATATACACGCGTGTAAGTACACGAAAGCGTGCATGCGTACCAGCACGCTCGAACACGCAGCATATACAATGCGACGCACTGTTCGGTACGTATTGGCTGCCACGGTCAGACAGCAGGAGTATGGAAACCGGCTGTGCCCGATACTACCTTCTTTATTTTACCTTCTTCTCTCTCTCTCTCTCTCTCTCTTGGATATTTCCCCACGTCGGAGTTTAATTCATGCTACGTTGAATCACCAACTACCAGATGCTCGACGGACTCGTCCTGCTAGTTTCGACCGGTCCGAGACGCGACGATATCGCCTCTCCACGGTCCATCAAAATTCTACGAGACTTTTGACGATAATACGCGTCACCTAGCATGAACCAAGAACACGGTATTCCGACGATAAATCTCTCGGAACGATCGATTCGTTTTGCAACTGCGCGTTGCCGTGTCAATCGTAAACTCCGTTCGAGGTTGTTCGATCCCATCCGCCTCGAGTTCGATCGAGTATGCGAGTCGTGTCGGCACTCGCGTCCTCGTCGCCGGAAGTGGTGCCGGCCTCTTACAAAAGCGACCGTGGCATACGTTCTTTCTCACCCCCTCGCCTCGCTTATTCCTCGCACACTTTTCTCTCTCCTCGCTTTTGACGCGATCTCTTCACCAATGACACGGCAATAGCGATGGTTCAAGGCCGAGCCGACCGTTCCCAGTCTTGACACCACTCCGAGACACCATAATTTCCTCCCTGTCCCTTTACCCTTCTTCCCTTTTTGCCTTCTTTGTCCTCAGCTTCGTCCTCCTCCCTTTTCCTTCCTTTCCACGACGTCCATCTCCGTGTCGGGAATCACGGTAAGAGTCAATTAGTCTGCGCGCAAGGTGCAACCAAAGTTCTTCCTCTTTCTCTCCGATCGATCGATCGACCGAGCTCGCCTCTAATCATTCGTCGAGGAGAAAAAAATTCTTCTGCGCCACGTATACTATTCCTATTCTCCGGGTATTAATTGCACATTTAGAATCGATCGTTAAACGCGTTATCAAGTCGACAACGTATCTAGAGTGGAATTAAATCGATTTTGTGTTCCCCGGCGGAACACGGCGACTCGTTAACGAAGTTTTAACGTCGTTACCGATCATTAGTTTCTCGAAGCATTTTGCCACGTCCCGAATGATTTTATTTTCCAGCAGAAAAGCTCGGGAAGAGGGTAGCTCATGGGACACCTTGCGCTGTTCCTAGCCAACCCCCTGGACGATATCTGCCATGGGGGCGTTATCGATCGGCCAAACCCTCTGTTTCCACGGTTTCACGGCGGCCCTTATGCGAGCTCTTATAACCCCATATATCCCGAGAAGGATAACTTAACATCGTTATGGTATTTTCTCTTGCGTTTTATCCCTCGTTCCTTGCCAGGGAACACGCTTCTTCCTTCCTCCGTCCTCTATCCCGACCATATTGGCCTCTGCGTATTATCGATCTTGCATTATTATCGTCTAACTTCCGAGAGAATCGGTCGTCAAAGTGGTTTCTAGTTATTAAATGCTCTATACACCTCTATCTATCTTTTCCTCCGTTTCTATCTTCGAATTGGCGACCATCAAAGACCAATTTTTGACCATGATCGTTGACCCTACGTTTTGTATCCGAATCAGTTAACCGACGATTTCGTGCCGACGCGGCACGCCCAAACAACGCCGCCACTCTTTCTCCTCGTTCCTGCGAATTTATGCAAAATGAGAAACGAGCGCAAAGTTTATTATCCGGAGAAAGAGAAATTCTTGAAAAATTAAACAAATTTTCCAGAAATTGAAAAGTTTGCAGCAAGATCCAGTTTCATTCTGTTTTTCTTTTTTCTTTTTTTTTTTAACGTTAAGTAATAATTTTACGAGCAGTGAAATTTCAATTTCCATAAAGTTTTTACAAATAGATTCGTTGCAAAGTTCTCAATTGATCGACTAATTAACGTGGGGGGTAAAAAAAAGGAAAAAAAAACTGCTCCATTTTTTCCCCGGAGTATTATAAATTTATTCCACCAGGTCGTTGCCCTCTCTCCTCTCTCTGATTACCATGGAAATCACTAGGCGGACATTTTCCACTGGCATATACGTCCAACCCTTTATGATTGCGCGAACCGTCTTTCCGGCGTTATTGTCTTGTGCGTATGCATAAGCAAGTGGGCGCGCGGCCGTGCGATAAAAATGCAAACACTTCGATCGACGAGACTTAGTATTCCACCTATGTCGTATTATTAACGCTCGGAGGTGTTCGATCCGGCAGCTTGGTTAAACGTCGTTTAATTAATGTCTTTATCGTAAAAAAACGCGGCAGGCCACGCCCATCCGTTGGCGAATGACAGTCTAGCAAGTTTGCACAGCGTCACGCAAATCTATCGCGTATGGTATGGTATCGATCCCTCGACTGGACCTCGACCTTGGTCCTTGGAATCGCCTGGTGCATCGACCCCTTCGTGAAACACCCTGTATACGTGCCACAGTCACTTTTCGATTACGACTTCTATTGTAATTAAGTCACAATGGCGAGTCTCTCACTCCACAAAGGGAGGCCTCAGCTTTGGAGATCGTTTTCGAATCGACGACCCTCGTCCACGACGACCTAATCGTCAGGTGCTATTTCTTTTCCGAGGGAGTTATATAGTATCGCGAGGACAGTAAAAATTGTTTAGTTTCGTTGCACGAGAGAGTTGCGACGATGACACAGAGACAGAATAGGGGTTGCTATTTTCGTCGTACCATCAGCAACGGGCCGACGCCCTTGCCCGACGATTATGCGATCGACCGTGTACCAATGGTTCCACGCTTTACTTTCCACCCCATGGACTCGTTCCCATTACGCTGGTGGGCGTGCACAAGGGATACGCAACTGTTTCTCGATACGTAATAAGTCCACGTGCGAATAAGACTTGTAAATCAGACCGAGATCGAACGATAACGAACGGGGCGTACGGAGAAAATTCGTGTATCCTGTTGACGATCGATTGGCAATTTCCGTGCTCCGATCGCGTAAACTGGATAATCGAAATCCAATTTCCGAGGGAATATCGGAGAGAATTTCCTTGAATTATCGTTTTATCATCCCGCGTAACCTTTTCTTTCGACGATACCGTTTCGAAAAAGAGAAACGTTTTTCCCACATTTATTTGTAACGTAAAAATTATCGGTGACACATAGGGAGCGATGCGAACGATCGATAGACACAACACAGAGGGTTTGAAAAGCCGATGGCGCGAAGGAAAACGAACTGTTGGCTAACCAACTCCCGGAGGAGGAAACGAAAGCACACACAAGCGGTAGTTATTGATCAGAAAGGAGGCTCGAAGCCAGTAGCAGCTGAGCCACCCTTATCCTTTTCCTACGTTTCGAGACTGTACGCGCACGTGACCGTCGCACCCCATTCATAAGAACCCCCAACGAACTCGAGCACCACCCTAACCGGAGCACAGCTGTTGCTACGAGAATCCTGACGATGTCTCCCAATTAATCGAGGTTCCTCGAGAAGTATTAGTGTTTTTTCCCATAGCGTAGATCTTATCGAACCGATATATCTATATATATAGAATGAACGTTCCTTTTCTTTCCTTCTCGTTGCAGATTTATCGAAGAACCGTTTCGCCGAATTGCCGGAAGAGGTGACGGAATTTCTGTTCCTCGAAAAGCTTCATCTCTACCACAATGCCATAAGAATAATACCGGAAACTGTGGTGATGCTACAGTCGCTCAACTACCTCGATCTTAGGTCGGTAAGGACAGGAAGTCGAGTGGCTGGCCTGGTTCACCGCGTGATGCGGGTTTAGAATTAACTTAGAGCGGAGACGGTTCGTTTTGTTCGCAGTCGCAACCAATTGACTTCTCTACCTCGGGAGATATGCAGGCTACCGTTGCAAACGTTATTGGTCGCTCACAACAGATTGGCATCTCTGCCGGACGAATTGGGCAGGATGTCCGCGTTGGCCGAGCTCGATGCGGGATGCAACGAAATCACGAATCTGCCACCCCGCATGGGCGATCTTGCGCGACTTAGGTCCTTAGATTTGAGGAGCAACATGATCGTGCACCTGCCTATAGGTAGGTAATGCTGCTTTGCGCTTTTTTTTTTTTTGTAACATTTCGAAAATAATACTGTCGTCTACTATTTAGATAAAAATTTCGGTGATGATCCGTGAAAATAAAATCGCTTTTTTCATCGATGCTCGCGACGTAATTTTTTTTTCTATCACGACGACTTCTTTCATTAAATCGAACCGATAAAACGTTCGAAATTCGTCGTAATGGTGAAAAACCGATCGTTCTTCGCAGAACTGACGTACCTGAGACTCGTAAAGCTGGATATCAGCGGCAATCGGATATCCGTGCTTCCAAACGAGATGAGGAAAATGAAGAGTCTGGTCGATTTTCGGCTGTCCGATAATCCTTTGACCTCGCCACCTGCCTCGGTGAGCATTAGCTGGCTTTCGGAGCTGAGACGCGATCGAGACGTGGAATTTATCAATCGATCAACGATTTTTCTCCTTCCCCTCTCTTTTCGCAGTTATGCATTCGCGGGCGAACGCACATCTTTAAATATTTGGAGAGACAGGCGGCGAAACACGAGAGGGCCAGAGGTGGCCGTGCTAGGAGAACACCTTTGGATGTCAGAGGTCACGCGACTTTGGACACGAGGACCCACAGGCGACACAACGTAGACAGTGGATACAGCACGAGCGACGGCGTCGACAAACGCTGGTCTCAAGAGATTCACAGCGCGGTTAGTTTCCTCGTCCTTCTTCTCGCTCTCTTCCTATCTCTTCGTTTCTTCTTCTTCGCCTGGCTCTACAACAAGCTTTTCGGCCACGAAACTTTGTAAATCCCGGTACAGTAGATACAATACAGACTACGTATATACCTACGTCGGAAACCAGCGTGTAGAAACTTTTGCCTGGCAACTATTCTTCTGTACTTCTACTAACCGATCCAAACATGTAGAAAAACGAAACGCAAAATAAACTTTGAAACGCACGCAACCACGTACACGATTCTACGATTTCTCGTAGTACCTCCTGCTGGACACCTTTTTGCGCGCAGGTGCACGACGGCGAGATTCGAGGGCTGTGGCGTCAAGAATGCTCGCCCCTTTCGATCACGTTGCCGCACGAGACGGGCGTGAATGGATCCTGCAGCGGAACCTCGACACCTAGTACCATCTCGCCTGGCGAGCACACGTCTCTCGAGGATGAGCTCGGCAAGGTAGGTATCGAGGTATTCTTCACCGGTTCATCGAGCTTTTCGAACGTTTTAGCCTTACCTCGCTTTTCCAAGTACTGTAGCCGAGCGTATATGATACAACGTCTATATTTAGCGAGTGTGAATAGAAACTCGCGCGCCCCTTGAAAACGATATCTGTGTTGTCGAGTCGCGCGCTTGGCCGTCGTTCAAGCCTCGTTGAATGACCTTAACCCATTGAAAGAACTCGTCTGCAGAATCGTCTCTCGCGATTAACGCGCACGGCATCCAACCTAGGCGTGCTAGGAATGCGCTCACCTTTCCTCCGTTGATCCCTCTTTCCTCTCTCCAGTCTTTCTCTCTCTACGTCACCAAGATGTACCATGTTTACAGGCAATGATACTGCACGATCAATTGGAAAAGAGGAAATTAGAAAGGAGCACCTCGGAGAATGGTGCCGATGTCAGAAGACCGATGACCTCTGGCTTCTATCACGCGTCGATTACGCCACCCGGGTAAGCGAGCCGTTAATAAACCAATCACCGTTCATTCCTGTCACACTGCATTACAACGGACGCGTAGTGATTTTTACCCGTTAACGGACGAGCTTAAGCATCAGCTATCCTTTCCCGCGTCTTTTACAGCCCCCTCGAATCCGCTCATCTGAATCAAACGGTATCGACCAACACGCAATCCGTGCAACCGTTGCAAACTTCGACCTCTAACGCTACCTCGTTGATGAACGGAGACGAGAAAAGGCCGCTCAATCATATTCAAACTTACAGGTGTGTATATGCTATTTTTATCTGGAAATAGATCGATATCGATCTATAAATCGATATTATTATTATGCCATAACGATATTTTGCCATTTTTCCAGGGAGTATAAAGAGGCTTTGAGACAACAAAGGGCGAACGAAGGACCAAGCGTGTACAGGCCGCGAGAACAAGTTACACCGCCAGGCAACGAATCGCAGAACAACGAGACGGACTCGGCTAGTAACAAAGACGCGGTTGCTTTGACCGGTAAACAGATCTTCAACGAGGAGAACGCGACCAAGAGACCAGTGCAGAAGGTAACTCCGTCACGCATCAACTATCAGAACACGCCGATTATCAACGGTAGCAATAACGAATACAACAATAAGAACGGGAAATACCTCGAGCAGCCGTATAAGAAGCCTAATTCGCCAATCAAAACGTCTTCGAGCATTTTATCTTCCAACGCAAGCCCAGGACACACGCCTAGATTAGTCAAAACCGCTGTTGGTTACGTGGAAGGTAAAACACAACATCGTGCGAAAATGAAAATGAAAAAAAAAAAAAGAAATAGAATAACGATTTGGTGTCGCGTGCAACTGAAACGCGGATATGTGATGATTTGTGTGTCAGGTAACAAGAGTCCGAACAGGAACGGTGGAAGTCCAAAGTCACCTCGGTCGGTTACATGGAACAGCAACGTGCCGGAAAAATATTCGTTCACCATGAGAAGAGAGTTCGAGCGTGCCAAGGAGGAAGCTGACTTGATCGAGCAACTTCGAAACGTGGGTATAGGAAAGGATATAGGAAAGGATCAACTTTCGCGCGTTAATCAATCGAGTTACAACAAGAACTAAAATGTATGAGTTTGTTCTTTTTTGCAGCATATCGAGACACGGTTGAAGATGGCTTTGCCGGAAGATCTCGCCCCGGCGCTAACGGATGGAGTTGTACTTTGTCACTTGGCAAATCACGTAAGACCCCGATCGGTTGCCAGTATCCACGTTCCTTCGCCAGCTGTGGTAAGCGCTCTTGGCTAATCTAATCGAGTCGATGATCCCCACGCTCGAGTATCAATGTGTAAATGATTATGTTGCGTTTCACAGCCCAAGTTGACAATGGCAAGATGCAGGCGTAACGTCGACAATTTTCTCGAAGCGTGTCGAAAGATTGGCGTTGACGAGGTGAGCTATCGACTCGATAAATTCTTTATTAATCCAATCTTTCGAAAATTTTCGTGCTTTGTCTCTCGCTAATGGTCTCCCGCGGCATGTATTTTAAACCAATTGCTTCTACATGGAACAAAATTATTTTTCTTTTCTATAATTTGACCGTATTCTCGATACGGAACTGCGAACCTGCGAACATCGCTGTTCGGGTCACTTTATCGTGGAAGCACGGTCAAAATCGTGGAAGATCGAACGCAAAATCGTAACTAACGCTTCGACAGCAGCCGGTACGTTTGTCCATGATATTTCCAACAACTACTAGTCAGTCCCCGATTTTTATTCAGTCGATTCGTCTTTTTTCAAAATCTCTATTGTTCCAAAAGAAAGGAAAAAAAAAAAAAAACATATCGGAAAGAAGAAAAATGCAAGAATTCGAAGGAGGAAGTGGAGAGGAGCCAAGAAAGAAGCTTTAGTTGCATGCGCCTCGTATTCGCTTTTGTGTCGCTCGTCGCTTCATCGGAGAACGCTTTGAACGCGTCTCGTTCTAGTGTCTTCACTTCTCGGCTTTCCTACCACGTATCAACGTTTCGATTGTGACCAATATATATATATACACATATATATCAATTGTGACCAAACACAATGAAGAATTTTTTAAAACTAAATTATTTGCATTTCCATCTTCTCGAGATAAGAACCAGAATTGGGTATATATATATATATATAGATATATATATATATTTTTTTTAATATTCATCATTAAACAACGAAACGATACCCAAATCTGGCAACAATATCATTCTCGATGAAGCATCTAAATCGAATAATTTGAAGCAAAATTATCGCAAAAGATTCGAATCGTTGATTTCGAGGAAGGTTACCGCTTCGAAGAAGTAAAAATGATAAGAGAGCAGAGATCCATTGTATCAAAAAAAAAAAAAATAAGAAACGTCCAGCGAACGTAGTAGAGACTGGGACTGAGTAGTATCGTTGTTGGTGTTGCAGGAGGTGTTAATGGACGCGGACGCAATCATGGACGTGGGTTACATGGACGCGTACGGGCTGGAGGCTCTGGCGCGTCTCGTCTCCGCTCTTCTCCTTTTCCGTGACGAGGGAGAGAACGATAAGAACGAAGAATCGGCCCCAGGTTCATCCCATACGATTCAGGATCGCGTTTTATCCGCGATGCTTTTTCTCACATTCCTGTCCTCCCTCGTTCTGCTCTATTTATTCCCCATTCCTGATTAAAAGTAAGAAAAAAAGAGCGACCAAGACGAGCACGCCAGAGTGCAAAACGATGGAACGAACGACGCTCGCAAGAGAAAAGCACAATCGAAGATTACTCTGGGATTATACTCTTCGATACATATATATATCGAGTATTGATAACGAGATTTGACAAGCGCGAAACGCGACGCGACGTGGCCGCGACACAACGACTCGGCCGAAACGATTTCTTAGATAGTTTCATCAGTTCAATTGGTATTTCTCGATTCGTTTGCCAAGCCGTCGAGTCGCCCGATATAATTTTATCGCACGACACTCTCCTCGTCTCTTCCATCCAATTTAGTATTCTTAGAGCGGCACGATATTTTTATAATTTCTCTCTCTCTCTCTCTCTCTCTCTCTCTCCTCCTCCTCCTCCTC